TTTACATTTCCTGGTGGCTTAAGGATGTTGAACATTTTTTTTCAAATATTTATTGGTAATTTGCATTTTTCTTTTGAGAATTGTCTGTTCAGTGAAATCATCTCATGTTGATTGAATAGTTTAGGTTTTGGGTGTTGGATATTTTTCTTCATATATTCTAGATATGAATTCCCTGTCTGATACATAGTTGGCTAAATTTCTCCCCATTTGTGGGTTGTGTCTTCACAGGATGGCTGTTTCCTTTGCTGTGCAGGAGCTTTATAATTTCATGGAATCCGATTTGTCAGTCCCTGAGATGATCTCCTATTCTAGTGGAGGCTTTTCAGAATGTCCTTGCCTATGCGTGTATCTTGAGGTATTTTCATCCATCAGACTCAAAATTTCAGGTCTTAAGACCTTTGATCCATTGTGAGTTGATTTATATACAGGTGAGAGCAATGGGTCTTGTTTCCTTCTTCTACATGTGTACGCCCAGGTTTCCTAGCACCATTTAAATGTTAAATGGGATTTTATCCTGTATGTTAAATGGGATTTTAGTCAATAAATGTGTGTTATACCTTTATTTAAAATTAGGTGGCTGAAGTAAGTTGGTTTATTTCTTGGTCCTCTATTATATCCCATTGGTATACATGTCATTTTTGTGCATATACTGTTTTTGTTACTACCCCTCTGTAGTACAATTTGAGATTGGGTATTGTGACCTCCAACATGGCTCTCCACTACGGTTGCTTTGGCTGCCTGTGGTCTTTTTGCTTCTATCTACATTTTAGGATTTTTTTCTAGTTCTGTGAGGAATGTCACTGGAATTTTGATGTTGGATCTGTAGACTGCTTTGGGTATTTTTACAATATTGATGATGTCAGTATATAAGCATGAGTTCTTCCATCTTCTAGGATGTTCTTCAATGTCTTGCTTCTTTTTTTCACTTTTGGACAGTTTCTGTTATAGAGGTCTTTCACCTCCTTAATTAGGGTTAACACATATGACTTCATAGTATTACGAAGTTCCTGTGAATGATATATTTTTCTCACTTTTTTCTTGGAAAATTTATGATTAGTATATAGACAGGCTGATTGCTGTGTGCTGCTATTCTGCTGAAGGTGTGTATCAGGTATGAGAGTTTTCTGGTAGAGTATTCTGCATCTTTCAAGTGCTGAATCATGCCATTTATAAATAAAATCCTTTGACTTCTTCATTTCCTATATATCCCTTTTATTTCTTTTATTGTCTCATTGCTTCAAGCCCTGTACTGAATAGCAGTGAACAAGCTGGGCACCCTGTCTCATCATCTCCTTACACATTTTAGGGGAGATGGTCTTATTATTTGTCCTGTTAGCATAATGTTGGCTAATGGTTTGACATTTATAGCCTTAGTTATGTTTGTTATGTTTGTTCTATTCCAATTTTTTTCTTTTAAATCAGGAAAGGATGTTAAACTCTGGCAAAGAGCTGTTCTGAATCCGTTGATATGGTAATGTAATTTCTGTTCTTAAGTCTATTTATGTATTATATTACATTAATTTGTATATAGGGAATTAATCTTGCATCAATGGTGAATCTAACTTGGTCATAGTGTATGTTTCTTTTAATATGTTCTTTAATTCAACTTGTAAATATAATATCCAGTTTTATTATCAGGGCAATAAAGGCTTTGTAGGATAATTTTGGTATTATACTTTGCTTTCTATTTTGTGCAATAGTTTGAGGAGTATTGGTGTTATATTTTCCTTTAATGGTTTCATAGACTTTACTGGTGAATCCATCTGGTCAGAGACTTTCCTATTCTTTTGGTTTGTGATTAACACTGTCATTTCTCTCCACTGTGCTGAGTATTTCTTTCAGTATGTTCTGTAGTGCTTTACAGTGGTCATGAACTTCCTCAGTTTGTGCTTGTCCTGGTATGTCTTTATTTGAACAGGCAGATTTGCTGGGTATAGCAATCTCAGTTGGTAGTTACTTACTTGAGAATCTTGAAGTACATTGTAGTTGGTTGTTTTCACTCTTTTGGGGGGCCCATCACTTAGCTCCCAAATAAATCACACTGAGTCTTATTCTTACTTATGAATGAATGCCTGGCCTTAGCTTGGCTTGTTTTTAGCCAGCTTTTCTTAACTTAAATTATCCCATCTACCTTTTGCCTCTGGGCTTTTACCTTTCTCTATTTCTGTATATCTTTTCTTTCCTTCTTATTCCATGTCTAACTGTATGTAGGGTGGCTGGCCCCTTCTTTTCTTGCTCCTCTTCTCCTCCTTTCTTTCATATCTCAATCTTCTCTTCCCAGATTTCTCCTCCTATTCATTCTCTCTGCCTGTCAGCATTGCCTATCCTTTCTCCTGCTTTGCTATTGGCCATTCAGCTCTTTATTAGATCAATCAGGTCTTTTAGGCAAAGTAACACAGCTTCACAGAGTTAAACAAATGCAACATAAAAGAATGCAACACATCTTTGCATCATTAAACAAATGTTCCACAACATAAATGAGTATAACTCATCTTAAAATAATATTCCACAACAACATATAATTATGAATTTTCTGGGTTTTAGGGTTGCAAGGCTGCGGGAATGAGATCTGCTGTGATTCATTTGCCTTTTGTTTCTCCCTTACAGCTTTTAAAATCATTTCCTTGCTTTGTATTTTTGGCATTCTGACTACAATATGTTGTGGAGAGGTCATTTTGAGGTCATGTTGATTTTTGGTTCTAAATGCTTCTTGTCCTTGAATGTCCATTATTTCTTTAGATTTATGGGAATTTCTGCTATAATTTTATTGAATAGATTCTCTATGCCTTTATTGGAAACTTTTGGGGTCTTGCCCCTCTAGTCTCCTTCCCAGGGGTCCAGAGGAGATACTACCAATGGCGAGAATAATCTGAGGGAGTGAATCTAAGTACACCAAGCTCTTTCATGAGTCTACTTTATTCTTCTGAGATTAAATTCTGTCTACACAGCTTCAATTCTGTACCCATGCTTAGCTCCTCTCTGTCCCTTTTCCTCCTGTCCTATCCTAGTTCTAACTAAGCTCTTTTTGCCTCATCCTCATCTTCATCTTCATTTCTGTCCATCTTGGTTCCTTCCTGTTCCTCTCCTGGACCCAGCCTCTGTCTTACTAGCAGCTTGACTATTACAATACAATGCGAAACTTCTAAGGTCCCTACTAGAGCAGTGAGTCAGCTTCATTTGCAAACCCAAACAGGAATGAATAGAGGAGGTGGGGTCAAAGTAAGGCCTGAAATAAGTTAGAAAGGGAATTTGCATGCTCAGAATATAGTCTTATAAGTGGTTAGGTGAAATATTACGAGTTTATCATAAATGTGTTCGCCCTATACAGACAGGGTGGGGTAACTCTGCTTGGAGCTAGGAAACCTGCCTCATGGCTTCACTGCACCTGGAATGCAGAAAAAATACTTTTTTTTTTCTTTATTTAAGTTTGAATGTAGTATTTCCTCACCCTTTAGACAGCTGTTTTATCCCATGTGCAAATGTCAACTTAAAATGGACTAGGCTTAAATATGAGATCTGAAGCTACAAAATTACTGGAGGAAAATGTGTGTGTAGGTGAGGGAGTCTCATTGGTCTGAACAATCATTTCTCTGATATAATATAAAAATCACCACCAACAAAAACAAAATAGATAAGAAGGATGGTATCAAGCTGAAAACCATTTTCAGAGCAAAGGAAACAGAGTGAGCAGATAACCCATGGAATTGTGAAAATGATCTGTAAACCACTGATCTTGTAAGGGTTAATATCTGTAACAGTAAAGAAACTCCCAGGAGTCCTGTGGATCAATGGGTACAATGTTACTGTTGGACAAGGGGACTAAGCTCTGGTGTTCTGTCACACAGTGAGATGATGACAAGTAATAGTAGCTGTTGCATATATTTCAAAAATAGAACAGAGGATTCTGAATGATCTTAACACAAAGAAATGAGACTTTGAGGTGATGGTTATGTTTGCTAATTAGTCTGATCACTAAAGAATGTATGGATATATGTGTAATATTATTGCTTCTCAAAAGTAATAGAACATGCAGTTTTGAAGGTAACTCCGAGTCATTACCAAAATCAAAGTCAAAACCAAAGCAAAACATCCCAAAGTTTAAAAGAGAGAGAGAGAGACAGAGACAGAGACAGAGAGACAGAAACAGAGACAGAGACAGAGACAGAGAGACAGAAACAGAGACAGAGACAGAGACAGAGAGACAGATAGACAGAATACTTTATTTCATTTGGCTTAGCGGCTATTATGAAACACCACAGACTATGTGCTTTAAAAACAACAGACGTTAGTTTCTGGCAGTTGCACAACCCGAGGAGTCCTCAATCCAAGCTGCAGCTTGACTCTTCTCACTTGAGTTCATGTGGCAGAAGAGGCAGTGAGCTCTCAGAGGTCTCAGTTTACAGCAGTGATAATCGTGGTCCCTGGGTCTTTGCCCTCATGAGCTAATTGCTTCTCCCAGTGTCTCCTCCAGATCCGTTCACACTGGGAATGGGTCTTTGAGATGTCTGGGGTGGAGGCATAAATGTTCAGTCTACAGCTGAACTTGAATACAGGCAAGAATGGGCAACAGGATTCCAAAAAAGGTGCTCAGAATCACTGAACAGTAGGTAAATTCAAATAAAAGCTGCAGTCACTTCTGGTGATATTGTGTTCCCCAAAATATTGTGCACCCTAATAAACTTATCTGGAGTCAGAGAACAGAACAGCCACTAGATAAAGAGGCTAGAAAATGGTGGCACACACATCTTTAATCCTAGCATTCCAGAGGCAGAGATCTGTCTGGATCTCTGTGAGTTCAAAACCACACTGGAAACAGCCAGGCATGGTGACACACGCCTTTAACCCCAGGAAGTGATGGCAGGGAGCAAAAAGGTATATAAGGCATGAGGACCAGTTAGTTACACTTTTAGCTTTTAGCAGCAGTTCAGTTGAAATCCATTCAGGTGAGGACTCAGAGGCTTCCAGTGTGAGGAAACAAAATCAGCTGAGGAATTGGCGAGGTGAGGATGTGGCTTGTTCTGGTTCTCTGGTCTTCCAGTGTTCACCCCAATACCTGGCTTCAGGTTTGTTTTTATTAATAAGACCCTCTAAGATTCGTGCCACAGTCACTTCCTATCGTCTAGGATGGTAGTCATGAAAAAGCTGAAAGTGAACCAAGTAGCCATTGTTAGCAAGGAGGTGTGGGAGCTGGAGCATTAGTGCTTTTGCTGGACCTAAGTCGTGCAGCCACTTTGGCAAACAGCGTGACTGTTTCCCAAAACACTAAGAATGGAACCAACACTTGAAATTCATCGAAGCGCCCAGTAGTATCAGAACATTTGGATAGCGCAGCCATTTCCACATCATGGCTGTTTTGACAATACCACCACAGACACTGGTGTGCACATAAGTCACTGAAATCTTGACCGCACCTCTTCTTGGTGGACATTCAAAACTGCAATCTTTGGGTCACAGTGCCAGTTCAGTGTGGTGTAGATGGACAGTAGATTGGTCATTCTTCCTTAGGCAGGAAGAAAATGTCACTTTAAGCAAAACCACAAAAGAACCTATAGGGCATTATCCCATGTGAAGAGTCCACTCACAGAAGGGCATGTACTGCATGAGCTCAAGTAGAGCTTCCAAAGAAATCACTCCCTGGAGCAGGAAGTAGGCTTATGTGGAGAAGGTTGCAGTTTTGCACATGGAAGTTTCCTAGTGCTCTGCTGTACACCGAGTTCATACTTGACATTGGCACACAGCACGTTTTAAAATTTGCTCCTTTGAGCCAAGTGTAGCAGCCAGTATGCTAGTAATTCCAGCACCCAGGAAGTAGAAGGGGCAGGAAGATCAGAAGTTCAAGGCCATCTTCAACTAGCTACATAACTAATTCAAGGCCAGCTTGGAGTATATGAGATCCTATCGTAAAACTGTCTCCACGTTGGAAAATGTAAACAGTTCAGATTTTACTATATTTATTTATTTTTGCATACTAATGTTTTATTTTTTAACCAATGATTGGTAGCATATCTGATTGGCTATTATTTGTTAAGAAAAACTTGTCAGTCTCTTGTGACTTTCTGTGTTCCAAGTGTGTCTCTGACAAGGTATAGGTGTACATGTGTGTGTCCTGATCCATGGCGGCCAACGTGCTGAATGACCTCAGAGGTCAACCCAGTCAGAAGTCTGCACCTGAACTTGTGGTCCCTTGAAGGCTGAGAGTTTCCTAGAGAGCTCAAGACAGGTGTTCTCCGAAGGTCACAGGAGGAAGATGGCTGGGAAGCATCTTTGCAGAGACTGTAGGGTCTGTCAAGCAGAAGGTGAGTCATCTCTACGCCCTTTGAATGACTGTCCTTGTTTAAATTCAGGGCCGGTGGTGTGAGACCATTCCATGGAGTATGCACATCATGGCCTGATGCTCTGGCTTTCTCTGCTTTCTTTTGTTCTCTAGGACACTGGTTCATCCTAAGGACACAAGAAAAGGTCCTCGTTATTAGACTTACATGCCAGGACCAGCGACATTGATAGGCTGAGAAAACAAAGGGAGATTGTATTCCTTCTTCCTATATTTACTGACTATGTGTACACATTTAGCAGTAGGAGACACGATGATCAGAGGGGAAAGGTCACCCTGTTGACAAGCAAGTGATGACTCCTTCTTTTTCAGAGCTGAGGTCCCAGGAAACCTCTGTGTCTGGTGTCTGGAGAGAGGAGGCCAGAGTCACATCTGCCTAAGTAGGTCAACTTTGACTTCCACCCACCTGAGTGCATGGAGCCTGAGGACTCTGGCATTTCAGGGGGCTTTGTGAGACTGAGGTGTGAACTGTGGAGTTCCCTAAGTGGGAATATCCACCCTCAGTCACCAAAGGGGCCACACATTTCCCTAATCATTCCTCTAGTGGTTCCCTAATATCAGACTCTGATTTCTACAACCAAATCATTGGCAGGGTCCAGGGAATTCACATTTTTAAGGAATGCCCAGGTAACTAGGTGTCTAAGCTCTCAACCTGGGCTGGATTTTTCCCACTTCAGGGAAGGTGAAGATGTGGTATAGAGCTGAGCCGGCAGCACACCAGGGTCCCCTTGTTCTGCCTCCAGGGAAGCCCCATGGCCAGCTGAGGTAACTGTCCTTTCTCCCTGTGGACAGCATGCACATAAGATGCTTAACCTAGCTCAATGCATCTCTGCTACTTGTTCCCAAGTCTGCAGGGGCAGAGTGGGGCGCTGACAGGGCCTGGCTCCGTACCTACCTAAACACATAATACTATCTATTTCCAAGAATCTTGAAAGGATTAGATATGATAGTACATACCAAGCATTCATCACAGTGACTGGTACAAAGAAAACACCCTCCAGCTTTTGCTTATAGCAGTCTGTCCAATAGACTGACCACCCAGAGGTCAGGCATCATGGTTCTCCTGCTGGACCACACTCACCAAGCACCTTCTATTAATATCTGAAGAAAACAACATGGTGTACATATGTGTTATTTGTGTGCTGTGTTTGTATGTGGTGAATGTTTTGTGTATATGTGGTGTGTGTTTTGTGGGTATGTACCTGGTATATATGAGTGTCGTGTGTTCTGGTGTATATGTACGTAGTATGTATATGTGTGGTGTTAATCTTGTTGTATATATATGTGGTATATGGTTGTGCTGGTATGCATGTGTCTGGTATATATGCACACGGTATGTGAGTATGCATGGTGTGTGTCTCATGTATATGTGTGTGATATGTCTGGTGGATATTATGTGTGATGGATGTGGATACAGTATGTGGTGCGTGTCTGATGTACATGTGTGTGATGTGTGTCTGGTATATATTATGTGTGGTGGATATGGATACAGTATGTGGTGTGTGTCTGATGTACATGTGTGTGATATGTCTGGTATATATTATGTGTGGTGGATATGGATACAGTATGTGGTGTGTGTCTGATGTACATGTGTGTGATGTGTGTTTGGTGTATATGTTGCTGGATATGGACATGGTATGTGGTGTGGTACATTTATGGTGTGCAGGAAAGGTTGATGGGTAGGATCCTCTGCGGCTGCCTTTTTCCTGGGTCCCTGAAAGCCACCCACCTTCATTCAGTTCTGTGAATTTTTCTCTTTCAGCGCAGGTAATCAAAAGAGATATCTTCCTGCTGGCCCGTCAAGGAAGGGGCAGCATTAGTAACAGGTCCATGTGGCAGGGAAAACAGCATCTCATGGGTAGGGTTTGACTTCTGCCCCAGCCCTTTGGAATCCAGTGTCCGACCTGGCACCAGGAGTGTCTGCAGGTTTGTGCTTGTGGCCACCTGCCAGACTTCCCCAGTTGTGGGCTGTGATGTGAGCAGGTTGGTGCACAGCACTGTGACACAAGTTACACTTCCCCACTTCAAAGCTTTGCCTCTAGGTCCATGTACTTGATGCAGACTAGAGAGCACCCTCCTGGACAGGCATGGGAGCCCCGAGATCAGGCGGTGTTGGGCTCCGCAGCTCCTCAGCAAGAGAGCATTTGGAAGCATCATGGAAGCAGCACCCAGTGTTCCAAAGGCCTGAGAGGATCCTCCTGTACTCCCTGCGGAAGTTCCGATTCAGGAGCCCGTAAACAATGGCATTAAGGCAGCTGTTGAAGTAAGCTAGGAAGTAGCTGGTGACAAAGAGCCCCTCTGGGACCTGGAGGGCCATCGCCTCTGGGTTGATAGCCACCGCAAGGCCGATGCAGTTGAGGGGGGCCCAGCATATGGCAAAAACCACGAACACTGCGAACATGGTTAGGAAACTGCGCAAGTCCCCGGGCCTCAGGCGCAGCTTACTCTCCGCCTTGGCCTTCCTTCGGACCCGGAGCACCAGCACCCAGATTCGCAGGTAGCAGAAGGATACCACAGCAATTGGAAGGAGGAAGTGGATGGCCACCACGGCCGCAGTGTACTGGGTGCTGGCTGTCTGGATGAAGGTGCAGGAATAGATGCGTGGGTCATATTCTAGGGACCCCACAAAGAAATTGGGCACCAAGGCCACCAGAGTGAGGAGCCAGACGAGGCTGATGTAGAGGGGGGCATGCCAGTGACTGCAGACGCGGTGGTAGGTTGCACTGTGACAGATGCACCAATAGCGGTTGATAGCAATGGCTGTGATGTTGAAGACAGAGCCAATGACGCTCAGGCCCATCACAAAGGCGCTGGCTTTGCAGTGGGCCTCTCCAAGGGCCCAGCCATCATGGACAATGGCCACCAGGATCAGCGGGTAAGGGTACAAGGCTACCACCAGGTCAGCCAAGGCCAGACTCACCACAAACAGGTTACCTGGAGCAGGAAACACAGATTAGCAGTTAGTAGAGGCCCCCCAATTCGTGTTCATTATTTATGGGGGTGGAGGGAAATCGCTTGTTGGGTAAAATGCTTGTAACTCAAGCATGACACCTGAGTTTGATTTCCAGATCCCACACTTTAAAAAGAAAAATAGCCAGGCGTAGGGATAATTCTTATAATTCCAGGGAAAGACAGGTAGATCTCTAGTGCTCGTTGACTAGCTGTCCAGCCTAATCAGTGAGCTCCGCATTCTTAAGAGATCCTGTTTGAAACATAAGGTAGATGGCACCTGAGAGTACAGGAATGATACCCAAGGTTCACCTTTGGTTTCTGTACCCACACATGCTTGTGCATTTCCACACAGAAACCACACACACACACACACACACACACACACACACACACACACACACACACACACACACACACACACGATACACAGATATGCACACAACATTTTATGCTTCCCTGAACTGCTTTCTCATCACTGTGAGTGGAAACCAATGGCACTTAGAGGAAGTTGAGGACTCAAATTGCATCCATACTTGTCTACTCAAGCGCTCACTGGCTCCCTTTGCTAACTTGCAAAACATTGATAATTACCCTACTTTGTGGTAGGTGTGATAATGAGAGCAATGCCCAGTGGAGTGGGTGGTCTCAAGCAACAGCTTCTAGGACAGGTATAGAGGCATGGTGTCCTGGTTGGCTTTTGTCAACTTGACAGAAACCTACACTATCTGGGAATCTTAATTGAGAAAATGCCTCCATAAGATTGGCCTCTAGGCAAGTCTGCGGGGGCATTTCCTTGGCTCACGAGTGATGTGTGAGGGCCCAGCCCACTATGGGCAGTGCCAGTGCTTGGCAGGTTGTGTAAGAAAGCTGTCTGAGCCAGCTGTAGGAAGGAAGCCATCGGGAGCAAGACACGAAGCAGTGTCCCCTACGGCGTCTGCCTTAGTTCCGCCTCCAGTTCCCATCTTGAGTTCCCTTTATGAAGGACTGTAATCAGGACATGGGAGCTGAAATAAGTCCTTTCCTCCCCAAGTTGCTTTTGGTCATGGTGTTTTATCACAGCAAGAGAAACCTAACTAAGACACACAGGGACATGACTGTTGTCCTCTTGGCCCATAGTCCTGGAGGAAAGGGGTGGTGGCGATTCCTACTTTGCCTGCACATTCCCTGACTTTCTGAGCTTTCCCCTCTGAATGGAGCCCTTGGTAGTTTATCATCAACTCAGCCAGCCAGAGCCTCAGGGAGCCACACAGCCATCCAGGAACGTAGCTCGAGTCCCAGGGAGGAGACAGTTCACTCCTAAAGTGTCACCTTTGCTCATCCAGATTCGCTGTCTAAGAACATCAGGGCCCGAATGAAGCACCAGGAACCTGGAGGGTTCCAACGTGGAGCTCAGGGCGTGAGCAGTTCCCTTCCCTGAGACCATTTCCCCCACAAGCCTTGTGTTTCCTGAGCATTTGCTGTATGCTCAAAAGGCAGCAGGCTGTCCGCATGTAGCATTTCTCGGTGGCATAGCGTACACAGGGATGATGTTTTCTGTCCTTTGGCCCATGCGACAAATGCATGCTGCTTGTCATCAGACAGATGCAGTGGGAAGGTAGGTTGCATTTGTAAAAGGAACTTACAAGTTGCCCAGGACACAGACGCTCCACCCAGCTTAAAATCTGTCCTTCTCCTATAGCTCCACCCACCCCCACCTGTCCTCCTGAGGGTCCAGAGCATCAGGGAAGGAAGAGGACAGGTTGAGGTCTAGGAAATGGGTGGCTTAGAGCCTAGCAGCCACAAATTCAGCTGTCAGACCTTCACATGAAGCACACTCCACTTACACGTGTCAAAATACAGCTTGGGAAAGGGCTGCCTCCAGCCTGCCCTAGTCCCAACACACATACTCACCCTGTCAGAGGACTGTGTGGTATAGAGTGCCTTGGGCAGGGACCTGCAGAAGTGCCTATTTTCATCTCAAAAGCTCCAGGTCAGTCTAGCTCAGAACAGAGAGAAAATAAGTCCCATCATACTAAGGAAGTTCTCAGGACCTCAGGGCTACACTGGCATCCAGAGTCAGGACAGGATTGAACAGGGCCAGGGGATGTGAGAGGTTGCCATTGAACTCTGGCAAGAAGTGTGGGGTGAGAAGGAGCATGGCCCTGGGGTCTAAGGGCCACATAGGGAGGTTGTCTAGGGATGGTGTATCCTGCATTCTCTGCTCTGCTGCTTTTCATCCTGCTCTGTTATTTGAGGGTTTTAGTTACTTTGTGGGTTAAGATTCATTTTCTTTCCAGTTGTTACTTCAAGGTGAGAAACACACATCTGAGGACCTGTGCGCAATGTGGCAGATCTGGTTGGCATCTTTGAGTTTCATTTTCAGTCCTGGTGGTGGTCTCCACCATCAGCAGCATCCTTTGGCTTCCTGGCCAAAGTTCATCTTCTTAGTCAGCCTGGCAGAGTCAGAACCACTAAGGGACAGACACATCTCTAGGTGTGTCTTGAGAGCGTTTCTAGGTTAGGGCAGCCAAGCAGAGAAGACGCACGCTGAATATGGGTGGCAGCATCCCACGGGCGGGGATCCCAGACTGAGGATCCATTGCCTCTCTCTGTGATTGAGGTGTGACTGTGAGTCATGACCTGCACTGTCCCTTCCCACCGTGAAGAGCCACACTCCCGACAGTTAAGGAGTCAACCCTTTTGTCCTCAAGTCTCCTGTGGCACGTGTCTTGTCAAAGTAACTAGGAAAGCAGCTGATGCTCCAGTTCAAACTGTCCTGAGTTCCCAGAAGCAGGGACTGCCTCTCACAACCCAGTTAGGATAAGAATTGCTTTATTCTGGGACTTTAAGGCTCCTTTTGAAGTTTGGAGGAGGTGCTGGAGGTGGGAGGAGCCTGAGGTACACTTAGTTCTGCCCATTTCTGGTATTGGGCATTTGGGCAATGACTGAACTTTCTCTGTGACTTCTTCACCCACCCCCTCTCCTGCTGGAGACCCCCCTACACTCTTCACAGTGTTGTTTTTGTAATGAACACCCCCCTTTCACCAACACAGGAAGCTTGGTTGCTGCAGATCCTAACGCTTTCTGGATGGACAGCAAACAGTCTCTTGGAATGTACGAATGTGACAGAAAAAGTCAAAAGTGCCTGGAAGCTGGTGCCAGCTCTGCCAGCTGTTTCTCTGGGAAAGCTAAGGCAGGCACCGCTGCGTTAATGCGGCTTGTCCCCTAATAATGCCCCAGAGGCTGCAAACAGCTTGTAAATGGCGAGCAGAACACGTTAGCTCCACGTGGAAAGTGATTCAATTACTCTCCCCTATTAAGCCGGCTGTTCCTAAAAGGCTGAAATCCACCAATCCCTGCTGGAGAGTCATCTGCCCAGCGGTCCTCCTGTCTTCTAGCTTCCTTGGCATGAATCCCAATTAGGTGACTGCCGATCTTACATTGGCGGCCATCTGTGAGCTGCTGAGATGCTGGAGTCTCTCAGGATGATATTTGGGAGGAGATCCCTGCTGCATCAATTTCTTCCCCAGCCAGGTGAGAGATCAGTCAGGCAGCCTGTAGCTCTGTTCTGCGTTGTGTGCAATGACTTGTAATAAACACTCATATACCAGGCTTGGAGTGACTCATCCTGCCTGCCTCTGCCAGACAAGGTGTGACGGTGGGAAGGGGCCGCCACAACAGGGTTGTCTTCTCTGGAGCAGAGCCTCTCCATTACTCACAGGTAAAGCACACTACAGTAGCTTCTCATCCCATCTCCTTCCTGGGAATTCTGTTTCTGAGGAGGTGGTCAGCGCCTCACTGTCTAGTCTTCATCATACAGAACTCTGAAAGGCAAAGCCACCCCTGTCCCCAGCCACTCCTTTGCTCACCTTCTGAACTCTGAAGAGTTTCCTTGTGTTTAAAATGCTCCCGGGAATGGAGCTTCAAGTCAGTGTTCACTTGAGCCAGTCAGTTACTCAGCAGGGACCCCCCGAGAACCTCCTCATAGCAGTTCTGACTGTGCTGGGAGCTTAGAGAAGCGGGGTGAGCAACCCAGGGGCATCCATTCCCTCACAGAGAAGACAGTCAACAAATGAAAGCAGGGCACAGTGAGGGACGTCCACAGCCGACCCACGCTGGCCGACAGGGCTAACCACTTTCAGATCAGAGTCTTCCTCCATCCTTTATTTGATGTACAGTACATCTGTGCTCTTCCATACACAGGAAAGACATGGCATGGTGCTTAGAGAAAGACCTGTCATGATGTACCAACACAGAGAAACAGAAGCCCAGGTAGTCCAGGCCACAGCAACAAGGTGGGGAACGTCCCACGTCAGACACTGAAGAGGGATGGTGTCAGTCAGGCTGAACAACTCCCCCAAACCCTTCGACCTGATTGCTCCCACCCAAGAATGGCAGTGCACCTGCCAATCAGAACCTTACAGTGAAAGGTCCCAAGCAGCAGAAAGTCAACAGGAGTCACATGAGGCATTCTAATAACGTTTTGGGTGTGAGCAATTTTGAGAAGATTGAGCAGATAACTCGTTAGAAAGTTGGTTTCCTCACAAGTACCAGAGCAATGGATACACATAAGGTAATCTCATTATGTTCTCAAATTCCTGGAGGGTAGAAATTGTTTTCTTCCAAAGTCCTATTGTTTATGCAAAACCCTCAGGGTGTCAGGATGACTCATAGAAAGGCTGAGATAAAGTTGTTCTTAGTTATATAAATTAAAAGTGTACAGGAAAATACCAAGGATGATGTTTCAAAAACTTACCAGAAGATGTATTTAAGAGTGTAAGGAGCATGTGTTTGAAAGAATAACTGGTATAATGTCACAACATTCTTCACAATCATCAGAAGAGATCAGCTTCTGTGGAAACGTGATGATGAGCACCATCTTTTGCTTTAACAAATGCAACAGTGACTGAGGACAATGGATGTGCCACCAGACTCAATGCTATGCACTTGGTACTTCTTGTAAGAATCCTGCATGTTTAAGCAGACAATTTAGATCTTCTAGA